CTGCAGGTGTTACTGAATAGCCATTTTTTGTTAGAAATTCAGAAATCTTACCATGTCATGCCCTGGGTGCTTGTTTCAATCCGTAGAGTACTTTTTGCAGCTTACACACATACTCAGGATGATCTTGACTCTGAAAACCCATTGGTTGGATCATGTATATCTCTCGATCTAGCTCTCCATTAAGAAAAGCATTCTTCACATCCATCTGCCACAAATTCCTGTCTTTGTTGGCTGCATGTGCAAGTAGGACTCGTATGGTTGTAAATTTTGCCATTGGACTAAATGTTTCATCATAGTCTAGTTCATACTGTTGATAGAAACCACGAGCTACCAATCGTTCCTTGTACCTCTCGATTGACCCATCTGGATGGCGCTTTTCTTGTAAACCTATTTACAAGATATGGGGTTCACATCTTTTATCTTTGACACAAGATCCCAAGTTTGATTTTGCTGAAGTGCATTTATCTCTTCTTTCATAGTTGTCATCCACTCAGAACTCTGCGATGCTTCTTCGAACGTCTCATGCTCTGTTACTTCTTCAATTATAACTACATTGGCATATTTAGGATTTGGCCTTCGTATTCTTGTTGACCTTCGGAGTTGAGATTGTGGAGTTGATTCTTCTGTTTCACTAGGCCCACATTCTTCATTTGGTTATTGATACACACCACTTTGCCAAGGATTCTGAGTCACTCTTTGTTCGACATCATCGCCATTTGGATCTTCTAATTCATCTGAACTTGTTTGGATTTGAACAACATGCTCCCTCATCTTTTTTAGTAGCTTGTCTCCAAATTCTTTCGAATCTGGCAACACCTCCTTTTCTGAGGACCACCAAGAAGATGCTTCATCAAATACCACATTTCGTGACGTGTAGCATCTTCTACTAATTAGATCACAACATTTCCACCCATTTCTCTGGCTGTCATATCCCACAAAGATACATCTAACAACTTTCTTGTCAAATTTACTCCGTAAATGATCAGGAACAAACACATAACATACACAGCCAAATACTCGAAAGTAGCTAACTGTAGGTTTTATGTTTCATAGTTTCTCAAAGGGTGAAACAAATCCTAACATTGGTTGAGGAAGTCTGTTGATCACAAAGGCTACAGTCCTCATTGCTTCAGCCCAAAACCTTCCAGGTACATTCTTTGCATGTAGCATACTTCGACAAATTTCTACAAGATGCCGGTTTTTTCTTTCTGCTACACCATTATGTTGTGGCGATTCTATTGTGGTGGGTTGGCACAAGTGTACTGATGACGTATTCGACATTCCCTTAGGTATTGAGAGAACTCGTTTGATCTATATTCTCCTCCGTTGTCTGTGCGCAAGCAACATATCTTCTTTCCCACTTCTCCTTCAGCTGAGTCTCTGAACTCTTTAAACTTTGAGAAAGTGTCAGATTTTTCTTTTATAAAGAAAACCCACACATACCTGGAGAAATCATCAATGAATGTTACCATGTACCGCATACCACTAATTGACTGTTGCTTAACCGGTCCGAACACATCAGAGTGAATCAACTTCAACCGTTCTTTTGCTTTAAACTTCGACTCGTCATATGTTAATTGGTGTGCTTTACCATACTGGCATCTCACACAGACCGTGTCTGTTCTCACGTCTAGTTGAGGAAGCCCCTTAAGCATCGACTTCTTCACCATCACACTTAGCTTGGAATAGCTAACGTGACCTAACCGCATGTGTCATAGATCTGATGTCTCATTTTTCCTTGTCCTGTCTAAATATGCATACTCTGCTGACATCACGTAAATTGACTCCAAACGTCGTCCCTCCATTGTTGGTGTTTATGAGATTTTGATGTCACGATAAACCTTCACGTCTTGGGGACCAAATAAGACATAATGGCCTGATGATGTTAGTTGAGCCACAAATAGCAAATTCTTCTTCATTCATGGGACATGGTAAACATCTTGGAGTTGCACCTGGTTAGTATTATATCGAGGCGTAACTATCGTCTTACCGATGTGAGTTATCGGTAACCTTGAGTTGCCAGCTGTCACCACCACACGACCTCCATTGTACTCAGACAGGTTTTACAACTTCTGTTTGTCACCCGTCATATGATTTGAGCAGCCAGAATCTACGATCCAATCATTCTTGTAGTCAATCCGTTCTGGTGTTGTTACCGTGAGAGCTAATTCTTCTTCCTCCGTAGCAAATAACGCTTCAACATCCCAACCATCTTCACTATTTTCCTTTGAACTAGAAGTAGGAGTATTACTTTCAACAGGCTTTTTCTTGGTCCAACAGTCTTTTGCCATGTGGCCCATCTTCCCACAATTGTAACACTTGCCATCGAACTTTCCACTATTACCACGATTCTTAGAAGCTTCCCCTGAATGAGGGGCTCCCTTTCCTTGGTAATTTTTCACCTTGTCACCATCCTTTTTAGATCCACTGCCAGTATACCGCTGAAAAGTGCCTCTGCTTTTGCTGGTGTAGAGTGCTTCCTCTTCACCCTTCAGCGAGACTCCTCCCATTTGCTTGGCCATGGCTTCTTGACCTGCAAGCAAATTTTTGAACTCAATAAGCGATGGTTGTGTCGGCCATCCCTGTACAGCGGCAACAAACCCTCGATATTCGGGTCTCAACCCATGGATAATTATTCTTTTTATCCTAGCTTCCCCAATAGCAGTTGTCGGATCTAATTCTGAAATTTCGCGGCATATCAACTTCACCTTATGAAAGTATTGGGCAACCATCATGTCGCGTTGCGCCATTGATAGAAGTTCATTCTCGAGAAGTTGCAATTTTGTATCGTTCCTCTTCGATAAGAGTATAACAAAAGTGTCTCATACTTCCTTTGGTGTTTTAGCATCCCGGATGTGCTCCAACATTTCTTCTTCAATTGTGGTCTTTAAAGCAAACATTGCTTTGCCTGCTTTAATTTTCCACTTTCGCAAGATGCCATTGGCATCTTCTGCCACCGGTTGTGTAACTTCACCACCACCGACAACCTCCCAAAGGTCTTGACCTTGTAAGTATGACTCCATACATGTTGCTCACGTGTTGTAGTTTTTGTTGTTGAGCTTCTTGATTCCTCCAACTACTTGAAGATCACCCATCTTAACGGCAAGGCTTTGACTACACCGAACAAGCTTGAGTAACAAACGTGCAGAGTACTAAATTACTCTAAACACAAAAAAGCTCCACAAGGTTTGTAATAACCCCGACAATAACTCAAGAAATATTTTCTGATGTGGAAGATCAGTTAAAAACTGCAGCTACAGAGCATACTCGGAATTTCAAGAGACCTTAAAAACGTGGCTCTGATACCAATTGTTGAATCAAAATAGAGTAAAAACTCTAATTGATTGAGAAGAAGAAAAATTTTCTTTAGAATAATCTCACAAAATTGCAAAAGGGAAGAACTCTTAAGAAAACTTTCAAATGCTTATAATTAAACTTTGATTATTGGATGATAAAACTCAAATACAAGTAGGGTATTTATAGGTTACACGAAACAATCTAAACCGCTCATTAAAATAAGCACTAAACAATCTAAACCATTGAAATTAAAACATGAGAAAAAATCTTAATTTTCACCTAACCAAATTGATGTAAGCAATGAAATCAAAACTAAATTGATGTAAGCAATGACATCAAATTAATTTAGGTGTGAACTTATTTAGGTTAATATTGAATTTTCAACAATTCATACCCTCTAGGTAGAATTAGATTTCGGATTTTTCAAAAAAAATATTATATGATAAATATGAAACCGTTAATCGTCACTTTTAGTGGTTCGGTTAATCGAAACCATTTAATCTTAACAGTTTAGCTAATTAACATGTAAAATATAGAAGTTACACCAGTTAACAGTTATGGTTAACGATTACAAATTAATCTCCACACCCCTAATTATTCGGACTCCAATCCTTACTATTTGGAAAAATATAAGATGATACAGTTAACAGTTAGGGACTTCCTATCATGTGTCGCATTTATTATGCTTGGTTTTTCTATGGATTAATTCTTGAGCATAACATGTTCTCAGGTTAAATTCTGTTACAAGCACGATCTTTGATTATTTTTCGATTTAAGGATCACATTGAGCTTTATAGCTCATTCCTCGATTTATGTTTTTCTTTTAAGATTATTTAAATTTTAAGTTCGAATTCAATATCAATAGGAGGATCTCATTTTTGTTTTAACTCACTTTCAATTCATTTCATGATCTGTTGATTTAAACTAGTTTTTATTTGAGCTTCATGCTTTAATACAAAATTTTTTGACCTTTTAACGAGGCTTTCTTTTAATACACTCCGAGTTTGGTTATAACGTTTAAATCGAGTCTAGGGTATTATAATCTACTATTCAAATAAGATACATATAATTTTCTTCTTCGAGAGAACAAAATCAATTGAGTTTAATCTTCTTTATTTAAGTGTACGAATCTAAAAACTCTACGTGCAATATCCATTCATAATTACAACGTCAAATGAAAATGATTTCTAAGGTAATGATTTTTTACCATTATAAAATAAGATTAGTTATTTTCTTTAATTATTGTTATGGTTATTACTAACAATTTTCTTATTGCGTACAATTGGATTTAATATTTTATTTCTCTAAACGATAAAAACAACAGAAGAAAAAAATTGTCGATAATTGAAAACTCGAATCCACAGTTTTACATCTGCCACAAGAGATGCATGTTACATATAATCACTCTTCCTTGGCAATCTTGTCAGTAGGAACCAATGGCAAAAACGAGGCTACTTTGTAACCCTTCCCGGCACCGGTAGCCACCGTCTTCTTATGTTTCTTGGTGAAGAAGGCGGCTGTCGGGACAATAGCCGAAGCTACTCCTGGGATGAGAGGGATTCGGTCCAGCTTATGCCAAACCGAAACGGCATATATTTTTACCTTTGGCTCCACGACGTCGAAGAATGATTTCGCCAAAGCAGTCACCACCGTGGGATGTTGGACCTCTGGTGACCTTCGTGTGACCACAATAAGTTTGGAGGCGGCGCTGCCTACTCCAGCAGAAGCCAGACCCTGAGCCACCCTGGGAGCCTTTGTATAGCCGAGATGCCTCCATACGAGAACTGCTCGATGAATCTTGTGGGAGAACTAACCAGTCTAGTATGCTGGACCTCAGTATCGCCGCCATCGATCACTCGGGAAGCCTTTTGGGCGACCGAGGTGGCCACGGATGAGGCCTGCTTGAAGAGCGGAGCAACAAGATCAATCTTTGTTGTGGCTTCGGCATGCTGGACATCAGCCATAACTTGGAACCCTGTGATGGCATTTGATGGGGCTTGTTTGAAGAATCCCACGGCAGTGCTAAGCACTCCAGCATCCGGCACCTCCGTAGACGAACCGCTCACTCCCAGAAGATTTTCAGCAGCCGACATGACACCAGTCGAGACCATCTTCATTCCAGAAGGGATAAGAGCATCAATCTTACTCAAACTGCTAAACTTGCTCAAATCCCCAACATTACTCATATCTCCAAGATTACTCAAATCACCAAGCCTACTCACATCTTCAATCTTACCTAATGCATTAAACTTACTGAAATTTCCAAGCTTACTCAATTCAGCAATCTTGTTCAAATTGCCAACCTGTAATAACAACAAAATCAGAATTCTTGAATCTCCGTTAATCAAACACTCGAAAATTCGAAATATTATACCAAATAGAAGCAACCAACTATGGTGAAACAGGCATTACCTTCTCGATTATGTCAAAAATTTCAGCAGGGACACCAAAGAACTTTATGAGAACCCATTTAACTAGGCTCTTAACCATGTCTGCAAAAAACTTGTGATACAAGCTAATGACAACTCTCTCGATGATGTCGATGACAGGCTTCAATGGTCCTAACATTTTCTTAACTAGAAAGTATAGTTTGAGTAAACGGAGAGCAGGTGTTTGCATGATTACAAAGTATTTCAAGTATTTCAAGTACATCAGCATTTGTATTTCTTCTGGAATCTTCAATCCGATCAACAAAAAGAAAATATAAGTTAAGCAATTTCAGAAAAGAACCCAAAATGGAGAATTTCATGGGGCAGAAACTCACCAATTCAGACTGCTGGACATTACTAGCCACACCTTTGGCAGCTGGGACGACGCTGGTCGAGATCTGCTGGAGGAATCCGGAGGAGATAAGCACATCAACAGTCTTTCCTAAAGCATTTCGAGCAGCACAGATGACTTTGGATAAAACCTGCTTGATGACTGAAGGTACAAGACTATCGATTTTAGTCACAAGTTCACCGACCTGCAATATAAACAAAGAATTCTTGAATCTCCTTTCATTTCTCATGCATCATCAACAAATTTAATGAAAAAGGCTTTACCTTGTCATCAACAAATTTGAGTCGCTTGTAAAGGGTATCAAAGAGCTTATCGAAAATCATTCCAAGCAGAGTTTTAACTATTCTTTCAACTATCTCAAGAACAGGCTTCAAGTGCCCTGACTTTTGCTTTAGTTTGGTGTAGAGGTTGATGAACAACAAAACCAAATGGACAATGGCTACTTGCACAAAGGCCAAGTATTTCAGCTTCTTCGTTTCTTCTTCAACCTTCGAATTCCGATCGACAAAAAGGAAATTAGAAGAAGAAAATATAAACAAAGAAAGTTTTACACTAATTTAACCATGGGACAGGAAAGAAGGTGGAAATAAAAGAAATCACGAGGCAATGCCCACCACTCCATCATGCTTCAACTTGGTAACCACACCTTGGGTAGCCGAGATGGCTTGGGATGACACATCTTTGATGAGTCCAGTAGTAGTGCTTGCGCTCGAAATTCCACTGTGCCGGACATCAGAAGCAAGTCCAGCAACCACTCCTGCAACCTTTTCGGAGGCCGAGAGGTCCTCAGATGAGACCTGCTCGATCTCAGCCAGAGATTCACCAACCTGCAACAAACACAAAGTATTCTTGAATCTCCTCTCGTTTTGGAGATATCATCAGTCTTAGAATACTTTATGTCAACCAAATAATTTCAGTTAAAATGAATCTATAATTGCAGTTAAAACAACAGTTTTGAAACTAAAGCAATATTTAATTAAAGAAAGTCTTCATTAGGTTCTGAAATCACAAATTTTTCGATGGCGTTTTCGATTTCTCGGAGCCACGAAAACAAAAGAAAGTGTAAAGAGAAGAATTATAGAGCCAGCACTCACCGCTCCAACATGCTGGACCTCAGTAGTCACACCTTGTGCGACCGAGATGGCATCAGATGAGATCTGCTTGGGCAGTCCTAAAGTTGTGTCCAGCAATCCACCATTCCCAACCTCAATAGCCATTCCCGGAACATCTTGCATAGCCGAGATGGCTTCGGATGAGACATGCTCGATGACTGAAGGGACAAATCGATTGATATTAGTCAAAGATTCGTCGACCTGCAATAAGAACAAGTAACTCTTGAATCTCCTTTCATTTGCTTACACTCTACAAACCATACATCAGAGCTATAAAGCTCTGTAATTTCTGTGGAAACCACAGTTTTGCAACTCAAGCACAAACTTTCCCAACAGCTAATGGTTTTGAAAACACAAATTTACAATGGCATTTTCAATATCAAAACTCATATAATTACACAACAATAGAAATAAATAAAGACAAATCTGTAATGAAAAAAAGACGATTTTTTTCATACGCAGATTAGATTAGCCATTAAGCAGTGAAGAAAAGTCTAGTCCAATATAATTATCACCCAATCATTGTTTAAAGCCTTTTATTATACTCAGTTTTAAATTTGCTTCTCATTTAGTCTTGAATTCATAGTTTATACCAGATCTTCAGCCACAGGAAAAGACAAATACAAAGAAAATACTTTTGAATCTCCTCTTATTTGTTAGATATCATACATCAGAGCTAAAAGGTCCTGTAATTTCTGTTTAAAAAAAGGTTTTAACCTTTCATAGTAGACGCCCGCCAATTACATTAACGGCGGCAACTAAGAATTTGAGAATAGAAAAGGGTTGGCTAACCACCGGCTATAAAAACATCACCCATTCACTTAATAAAAGACTTTGGAAGACTAAAAGCAAAAAAACTTATATTTTGTTTCTCATTTTGTATTTGTCACTGATTAAAATTTTAATTTTAATTAAATTTTATTATAATTTTATTTATTAAAGATAATTTAATAATTAAATTTATTTAGTTAAGAATTCCTATCTAATAAGGATTATTGATGACCAAATATTTGATTTTATAAATAAAGAGCATGTCTTGATTTTTTATAATTATGAAATAATTATTTTAGAGATATTTAATACTTTGGCAGTCTCACTAATTTTTAAGGCTTATGTTACAAAGATGAATTTTATAGAATATTAAAATAGTATTTATGATTTCCAGATTTTGATATAGATATTGGATTAAAATATAATTTTTAAAAACAACATGGTTGATTCAAGTGGTAAGAAGCTTGAGTCATTGTGTATGCAAAAAATTTCTACTGTGACACTTGCTCACTAAAGTCAGAATTCGATGCGGATCACTCCAAATTAGTCAAAACAAAGCCTTGAACTAGAAAGACAACAAAAATAATTAAATTTTAAAAAATAATCATCGAACTATTATTTCTTTCTTATTTTGATAATTTTTTTTATTATGATATTTAACCATTAAAATTTTAACGATGAAATTGACACAATTTTCTTCTCAAATTTCTATAGCACTTATTTTCTTTTCGTTTGAATCTCTTGTGTTATTTTTAACATTTTATTTGATTAATACAATGATACAAATAGACCTCTTACATTAGCCACAAACATAGGTCAGGTTTTGATAAATTTTTAATAAAATTTATATTTAAATTATATTAGGTCACCCCTTTATAAAATTAATATGTGGACTATTTAAGAGAGAAAAAATAATATGAATTTTTTTAAAAGAAAATTGTATGTTAGCTGCGTTGGTAAAATCGTAAGGTTGATGATCAAAACAGAAAAAAATAAACTTTAGTGATATTAATTTGATAATAGATTATAATTTTCCCTTTTAAAATAAATTTTTTATAATTATAAATTTATTTTATAACGATTTAATAAAATTTAACGATTATTTTGTAAAATATTGATAAATTTAAATTATTATTTTATAATAGTTTAATGATTTTGATATTTATTATAATTTTTAAAATTTATTAACCAAAATAATATTTTAAACAGAATTTAATAATTATAGCTTATTTTATCTAAAAAGTATAATTATAATTTAAATTGTATTTTATTATCATCTATATTCATTATACCAACAAAATCAATCCTTTCATTACAATATACATTTTTAAATAATATAATTCTACTCATATTTTTAAATAAATTTTAAGTTAACTCTCTTAATTTTATTTTTTAAAATTATTAAATCACAAAATTTCAATAAAAAAAAGAAGAAAAAAAGAGAAATATTGTTTAAAAAATTTAAAAAAATACCACATCACGGAGAAAATTAGAATCTCCAGATTGATCCAAAACGAATTGAGCCATTAAAGAAACCTCTGAGAGCTGCTTTCAGAGTCGTCGTATAGAACAAAGAGAGTAATCAAGAAGATTAATTCGTTTTCCCGCCACCCAGTGGCGTTGAATACGAGAAAAAAGAAGCAAAAAAGTCACATACAACGGCATCGTTTATAGTAGATTGGTGAAGACAGCGGTTAAATCTTTGTTTGGACGGAAAGAAAGTGAGAAAATCTCCAATAAGCCGACTCAATGAAAGAGAAACATCTCTTATATTCAAATAAAATATATATATTAATTTTAATTATTATTTTAAGAGTTAATTGTATTTGACATTTTTTAATTTTAATGTACCGTTTCATCCAATGTTTTTAAAACCGGACCGGACATTGAACCGGTGAAGGTACTGGTTCACTGGTTTACTGGTTTAACCAGGTTCAACCGTGGTTGAACCGAATTTTATATAAAATAATATATTTTTTTAATTTTACATAATATTCAAAGCAATATTAATATATATGTAACACTTTTTTTAATTTTACAATATTAGAAGGTATAAAAAATATCACAAGTCATAACATGTATAAATGAAAAACCATAAAATCAAGTGAAACAAAATGATTCAAATCAACTACAACATAATATTTAAGGTAAAACATATTAAATAATAAATATAATTATATAACTATAATCAAAAAAATAAAATTGAGGCTTAAAAAATTATAACAAATGATCTCATTTGGTTTAATTGTTTTAAAAAAAACAATCTCACATGACTAAGAAACATAGAAGAGTATCCCAAAAGTTTAAAGAGTAAAAATATGAGAACAAAACAATCCCACATGGTTAAGAAACATAGAAGAGCATCCCAACTTACTTCTATAAATAATAGAAGTAATTTGACATTCAAAAATCATGAAGCCTTTTGGTGAGCACAAAGCGAACTATTCTTTAGCTTCAATTGAGCTCAAATTTTAGGCTTCAATCGAACTTCTAAATTTTTTTTTGAGTTCGAGCCTTTTCGATTTCAAGTTTTAATATTATATTTCGAGTTGATAATTTTTAGCTCGTGAGTTTTTGAGTCAAGTTGAGCTTACTTTTAAAGTTTTCGAGTTCGAGTCGAGCTCAGCAATACTCGAATTTGACTCGGCTCGTTGAACAAACGACGTCGTTTGGTTTAATTTTTTTTAAAGAAAAAAAGTGAACCAGCGGTTTAAACCAATTTTCCCGGTTTTCAGCCGGTTCACCCCGGTGTCTCCGGTTTTCAGCCAGTTCTTCCGATTCTTTATCGGTTCTATGCTAATCCGATTTTAGGAGTTAACCGGACCGGACAGGCCACCGGTTCACGGTTCAACCGGCCGATCCGGTCCGGTTTTAATAACATTGGTTTCATCACGCAAATAATTTATCGACAACATGCCAAAATTGTGAAAAAATAGTTTCCAGCATACACAGCAAAAGCACGTGTATTGTTTTAAGTTCTATCTCCTCTTAAAACTATTAAGATTTAATATTCAAATTCGATACATATTTAAATTAACTAGAAAGTAGTTATAAAATAGAAACAAAATCAAATTCAATAAAAAAATAAACTAAATATTATTATTCGAATCAATATTTTATTTTCAGATTTTTTTATTTTTTATTTTTTATTTTTACTTTGAATTCAAATAGGTTTGCAAATACAATAATAACATTATAGTGCATCGGGGCCATATCCATCATATAGGCCGAATTCTAGTGCCAATGAGGTAAGCATGTTCCCATAATAAATGTTTCCATGATCGTATAGCTATGTTGCCCTTAGTCTTTGGTTAATTCTCATTTTTGCTACTATTAATGAAAATAAACTTATCTTATTAGTCTATAATAATTTATTCTTATTAATTTGAATAAAAAATATGACTAATATAAAAATAATTATTGATTAGTATTTTTTATAAAAGAGATAATTAGCCAAAAAGATGAAAATGTAGATTGTATAGAGGTGATAAAGGTTCCAATCCCCTATAAATTTTAGTTGAGAGTATTTATAATGAATTTAGTATATGGTATTATATATAAGATAATTATAGTTGTTTGTAAATTAACAGGTTAGATTTAATAGTCAATCTTAGATTTTGTTCTGATAGATCACGTGAGTTTGTAAGAGATATTGTCAATGCAATATAATCGACTCAGAAGACTTTTATCTGGAGGATGTGGGTTCCTCGATAGTTTCGATAGGCGAAGATATATGTTTAAAGACCTAGACTAATGGAGAGCTAAAAGTTTCCATAGTTATGTTTGAGAGAGGCTTTGAAATTTCTAGAGCTCATCTCTAGAGGTATAAAAATCATATCTAGAGATAATTGCACAAAATGTCCCCAAATTATAACATCTATTTTAAATTAATTTTAAATTTTAAAATATGCTATATCGTCAATAACTATGATTCCATTCTAAATTAATCTTTAAATTTCATAATATTTTATATCAGGCCTTCAATTATCAGTATAACTTCATTTTGTTCATTTTGTTAACGTGTCGTTAACTCTATTGATTAAAAAATAATTTTTTTTACGGTCCTAAGAATTTAAGTCGTGACCTTGAAAAAATTCTCAAAACTTCGTAAATAGATTATTTTTTCATAAGATCAAAGATTCAATTCTCAAGACCTTAAACATATTAATTTTTTTAGAATGTCACGTGTTTAATTTCCATATTTTAAAAAATAGATTAAAAATGTTAACTAATAGAATTAATGACACATTAATAAAAGGATCAAAATGAAATGATACTGACAGTTTGAAGATTGATATAGAATGCTTTAAAGATTACAAATCAATTTAAAATGAGATTATAATTTATAATTCGAAGATTGATATAAAACATGATTCGGATCATTCTTTTCTTTTTCTAATTTATTGTGATCTGGAATAAATTGATTTCATATGAAAAAAATCAAAATC